TAGTCATTTGTGTGATAACGGAGGTGGTTTAATGGTGCAGAACCTAAGGCTACATGTTTGTGAGAGTACTTAATCTTTGTCAGGAAAGAGCAACACAAAGGACATATTGGTGAGAGGAGAGGGTGCTACAAGGGCTCTCAGACCCTTGCAGATTTTGCAGGGAGCTCAGTGTACCTAATCTTGATTAGTTCATATTAATAATAGCAGCAGTAATAGTAGTAGTATTAGTAGTAGCAGTAGTAGTAGTACTAGTACTAGTAGCTGCAGCAACAGCTACAGTAGTAGTAGTAGTAGTAGTAGTAGTAGTAGTAGTAGTAGTAGTAGTAGGAGCAGCAATAGTAGTAGCAGCGGCAGTAGTAGTAGTAGTAAAAGGTGCAGTAGTAGTAGAAGAAGCAATACTAGTAGTAGTAGCAGTAGTAGTAGTAGCAGCAGTAGGTGTAGTAATAGTAGCGGCAGTAGCGGCAGTAGTAGTAGTATTAGTAGCGGCAGTAGTAGTAGTACCTGCAGTAGTTGTATTAGTAGTAGAAGAAGAAGTAGTAGTTGAATTAGTAGTAGTAATAGTAGTAGTAGTAGTAGTAGTAGTAGTAGTAGTAGTAGTAGTAGTAGTAGTAGTAGTAGTAGTAGTAGTAGTAGTAGTAGTAGTAGTAGTAGTAGCTGCAACAGCAGCAGTAACATCAGCAGCAAAAGTAGCAGAAGTAGTAGCAGTCATTATTCTTGCTGTTGATGTGAAATCAGCAACATCAGTACCAGCAATAACAGTGTATGCATTTGTCTTCTGCAGCTTCGATACTGGAAGTCCAGCGAGGGTTGGAACAAGAAGAAAGAAGTCGAGATCGTCCTTGGAGAAGATCTTCACAACCATGGACCACAGATCAAAGTTGCTTTATCAGATCTTCCGGCGTATACCGCCTTGAGAGCTCATGTGGCCGTGATGAACTCTCACTACACAGGTCCCTTCAGTGACCTACTAGACTTTTTCACTCCAGAAGGAGGTAAGTCGTGGGAGTGTTCGCTTGTCTAGTTAGCGTCTTATTCTTTCGTCTCCAACATTTGTCCGAGTGGTGTAATTATGCTGTGTCTGTTTACTGTAATGGTTTGCAACCTGAGATTTGTACTTGTAATTATCCAAATTTTCGGCTTTTACAGCCATTAATTTAATGAAAACAAAAAGATGTTGCCATTTTGATGTGAAGAGTGTTGTCCTTTGTGCCTTGTCAAAGATATGATCAAAACAGCAGGTATCATGACACAGATGACACAGATATCACATTGATATCCCGACGCTAAATTACCAGTTGTTAATCAATTTTTATACTTTATTTATGTCGATGTTTTTCGCCAAGATCTTGCTAACAGTATTTAGAGTTTTCTTTTGTTTTCTTCTCTGTTTTGTTATGTGGGGAGTGGGTGAACTTAAGTGGTGTGCCACCTGAAAAAGATTGCAAACCACTGGTTTACAGCATAGCTGTGATATTTGTACCTTTTGGTAGACAGGTCCGACTTCTTCAGACATTTCTTTACCGAGTTAGTCATCTCATCTTGTTTTGTGAAACACCGTGAGATATTTCATCGCCTTCACCCCTTGTTTGAAAGATGTTGCCCCTAGAGAACCCCCCCCCCCCCCCCCCCCCCCCACCCACTTCATCGGTTGTATACTCCTAGTGGAACGTTTTTAAATGATGTCCAAAGAAGGTGTTGTTAAAGGCTGGAGTTTCTTTCATAAGCACCAAACCTGGTCTTAGCCCCACCCCCTTTCTTACTCAGAACATTTGTAAGGTGAGTAATTGGGTCTCTGACTAGGTATAGGAGACAGAGGGGGGTTCAAGGAGAAGAGGTTTGACATAGGTTGCGAGACATAGTTTGTTGATAGTCATGACTACCAGCGCCACACGGCATGGACTGAAGCTATATGTGTATGTGTGTATGTGTATTTGTGTGTGTGTATGTGTGTATGTGTGTAAGTGTATGTGTGTATGTGTATGTGTGTATGTGTATGTGTGTATGTGTATATATATACATACATATGAAATCAGTCTTGATAATTATCATCGTCAATCAGCAAGTCCTTTACAGAACGTCGCTCTCTCTCTCTCTCTCTCTCTCTCTCTCTCTCTCTCTCTCTCTCTCTCTCTCTCTCTCTCTCTCTCTCTCTCTCTCTCTCTCTACAGCCCGCCTGAAAGTATCCGTTTCCTTAGTCTGCTCTCTAGCATGTGCTTTCAATGCCAATACATCTTCAATGTCCTGTCTCCATCTTCGCGGTGGTCGACCCCTGCTTCGCCTTCTACAAACTGCACCCTCCATCACCGTCTTTTCCAAGCCACCACCACGTTTGATGTGGCCAAATACTTCAACTTTCGGAACACAACGCTGTTTATGATCCATTTCTCCTTGATGTTTAACTCCTGTAGAATTTCGATGTTTTTCCTTTCCATTGTATTCTGAGAATTTTTCTCTAACAATTCACAAGCTCCACTCGTTTTCTCCAGTGATTGAGTGAGAGTCCAGGATTCACAACCGTAAGTTGCCACAGGAAAAATGGTAATGATAAAAGCGTTCATTTATAGCTCTCAATAATAGATAAATAGCCAGAATTAAGATTCACCACACCGACTTATATCAAAAACAGAAAAACCCGCTGTGCGGGATAATTAAAAGTTATTATATTGATATCTGTCAATTATAACCTTCAGTCGTGTGGTGAAGCTAAGATAAATATTAACCTACCAACATCTGTTTCTTATAGTCCATCCAGTATGAAATTGGCAATCATATCTGCCTATGGCCATGTATAGCTATCCTCCGAATAAGGTTAGTTGCGTATCCTTTACAGGACGTTGCAGAACCAACCCCAACAGCCCCTGGCTGTTGTGTGGTTTTTCTAGGCAAATTTACGTCCAGTAGTTTGCCAGTGCTGCTGGACGGTCGGCTTTCTTGATACTACTGTCGAAACCAACGCAAGGCGCATGGCCCGCAGCTGGGATCGAACCCGGCATCCTGGCATTACTGGCATCCTGGCATCGACTTAGCCAGAGAGCCGACATCCTCCGAATAACGGTTCCAAATTATTGAGGCCGAAAATATACGCTAACAGGGCTACCCTCTATAGTACAGTGTTCACTCGCTGTCAATCAGACTCTTGGCCCGGCTCTCTAGCTTAGTTGGCTAAACCGAATTGCGCGGTGACCCGGTGACGAACTCCTTGTGGTCCGGGTTCATGCCCGGGTGTAGGCAGGAAAACCATATTTCTCTCAGATTTACGGTGTTTATCATTGAATCAAGGCCGAAGGGTTGCGATATCCATAATACCGAGCCTAATGGTTAACACTCATGGCTTCTGGATACAAAAACAAACAAACAAACATGCACTCTTTACACATTTTGTCCGCACACTTTCGTGCCCGAGTCTTGCTGAACACGAACTAGGCATAAATAGTGACCCAGGCCGGTTGACACCTCATGGATCCACCGGTCAACTCCGGTCCTAAGCCAATGCAATACTTGCGTATCCTTTACAGGACGTTGCAGAACCAACCCCAACAGCCCCCGGCTGTTGTGTGGTTTTCCTAGGCAAATTTACGTCCAGTAGTTTGCCGTTGCTTTCTCGGTGGTCGGCTTTCTTGATAACACTGTCGAAACCAACGCAAGGCGGATGGCCCGCAGCTGGGATCGAACACGGCATCCAGGCATTACGAAGCGTTCGCATCGACTTAGCCACAGAGCCGACCCTAAGCCAATACAGAGTCAAAATACCGACTTAGGCCGGGCTGACACCTCCTGGATCCCCCGGTCAACAAGCCTGTACTAGAATTAACATAAACAAACAAGCCTGTACTAGAATTAACATAAACAAACAAGCCTGTACTAGAATTAACATAAGCAAACAAGCCTGTACTAGAATTAACATAAACAAACAAGCCTGTACTAGAATTATCATAAACAAACAAGTCTGTACTAGAATTACCATAAACAAACAAGCCTGTACTAGAATTAACATAAACAATGTTGATACCCCCGAACTGACACACAGCAACTTGGAATGAAGGGGACAATTGCTAAATAAAATAAACACAGGACGGGCGAAATTAACCAATATTGCCGGGAAACAGTTGAGGGCGAGACGGACATATAATCAAACTGTTGCAGGCACCATCGGGTTTGGAACTATTCGCTGGCTGCTGAAGACAAGGAGGAGCCCTTATGGGAGTGTCCTGAGTGTCCATAATTCACTACTGTATATCAAGACTAAGTCTTTAACAAAACAATATAACATTCTTTTTATTATAAGAAATGAGGCCACCGACAAACAAAAAACATTAAAGGGCTCAGCTAGCCCCCCCCCCCCCCTTCCCCCTAATCCCCTATTTCCCAACTCTATGCCCGCCAGTTAACGTGGTCTGCGGTCCCAGGTTACTTTCCCTCTGTTGAGAAAACAACAGTCGCGGTCAGGGCTGACGAAGTTCAGAAAACAACAGTCGCGGTCAGGGCTGCCGAAGTTCAAACACATTTGGTACCCTTTTACCCTTGCAGAGCAAAACTGCACCTTTGACACCACATCTGGTGTTTTTGGTACGTTTAAGAAAGCTGCATCAATGTTTTAATTTGTGGCATTGTGTTGAAACTTGTACAAAGATTTTTGAGGATGTACTAAAAAAAAAAAAAAAGATGCAATTGTTGACGCAAATGTACCGTTTCACGTAATTGGACAAGCGCGGATTTGTTTCAGTATGAAAGGCCATTGTAGGTGTGTCTGTCCAGAGAACTTTCAAACTATTCTCTTTCGTATCTTTTGTCGCAGTTTAATATTTCAATTTATTTGTTGTTCAAGCTTTTCTAATTCAATTTTATTTCAAAATATTTTGTGACATTTTGTTAATAAATCCGTGGTGTATGTATGTGTGTTTGTGTGTATGTATCTGTGTTTGTGGGTGTTTGGTTTGGTTTATACAACGAATCAACATCATGGCACAAGAGTAATAACCCATAAGTGCTTCGTTCTACTTCTAACTCAGGACTCAGTCGAAAGAATCTCAGCGCATTGCACGAACTTCCTAGCACCTCCGAGGATCCTAAAAATTCTATGGGTAGATTTTTAACTCCAAATGTTTCCCGGTCAGCGGCGTTAGGCTACTCTTTTCGATTTCCAACTGCCAAGGGATTTTTACTTGTGCGACATTAGACAGGGACGTCCGTTCTTACTACCCAGAGTTATGGTTAGTTGCGTATCCTTTACAGGACGTTGCAGAACCAACCCCAACAGCCCCTGGCATATCGTGCTCGGTCTAAACTTTCAGAGATCGGTATGTACTTATGCTGTGTGATTTTTCTAGGCAAATTTACGTCCAGTAGTTTGTCATTGCTTTCTGGACAGTCGGCTTTCTTGACACAACTGTCGAAACCAATGCAAGGCGCATGGCCCGCAGCTGGGTTTGAAACTGGCATCTCGGCATTACGAAGCGTTTGCATCAACCTAGCCACAGGGCCGACTACTACCCAGAGACCAGGGGAAATTACTAGAAGTGCGCGTTAAAAAATCCTAGCATTCAACGGGGCCTTAACTTGGGACCTCTAGCACTCAAGGCGGATGCTATGCCTTGAGACAACTCAGCCCCCAGTGTGTGTTTGTGTGTGTGTGTGTGTTTGTGTGTTTGTTTGTTTGTTTGTTTGTGCTTAATATAAATTTTAGTAGGTTTAAAAAAAATGAAACACTAAAAATATGGTATTTTTTTAACACTTAAAACACTAAAAATGTGGTATTTTTGTTGTGCTGTGGTGCCTTTTCAAACATTACTTTGGTATTATTGGCACAAAGTGTTTCGTCAGCCCTGTCGCAGCAGGTCATCTTGTCCGTCATACACATTTTCTACTGTCCTGGATTCTGTGCTCAGGATATGGGCTTTCACAATGCAGACAGTCACAAAAGATGAGTACTCGTATATGACAGGAGGAAATGAAATGAAATCTAAGGACACAGAAGACAACAGGCTGCAGTTTAGGTACACGGGAAATTAGACACGTCATTTTGTAAATGGCGACAGCGCTTGGTTGAAGACACAAGTGCACTTGGGTGAACGATCAATTAGACAGGCTGACAAACACTTGCTTATTTATTTCTCGTATTATTTGTGTGTCCTTGTAGGTTTCGTATTTATAGATTTTATTGACTTTATTAATGTGGAAGCTTCCTAGTATATGTGATAGGTAAATGGAACAGTGATAGTGTCACTGTAGTTATCATCTTCTATAACGTAACATCTAGCATGAGAATGGACTGTCTGCACAGGACATTTTATGGTATTGCATAATGAGTAGTCTGACATATTGATTGCTACTGAGCCAATGGGTGGTGAGCTTCTTTATGATAAAGCGGATATGGTGAAGACTGTCGATGATCAAATGGTCAGTGCAACGGCAGAAAGAGAAGCTACACCTCGAAACACTGATTTAGCGTGGAGTGGACAAAGGATTTGAACCGTTTTCAACGCTCATTAGAAAAGACAGGACGACTTTTGATCGTGTTACAACAAGCAGAATCGGTATGGGAACCCTTCACTGGCTGCTGATGAGGGGAACAAAGCACGTGTGGAAATATCATAAGCGCCAAAATTACTCAGTTCTTTAGTCAGTCATTCGTTTCTGTCTTGATTGTTCATGGCATTACAAGAAAATGTCTTTATGTATACCCGTTCAACCGTCCCAAACACAGTCATCCCTTTCTTTGCTATCATGTACATCTCACTCCATGTTTCCCCATTATTTATCCCATTCTCTAATTTTTATTCATTACAGTCAAGAAGTTTTACTTATATAGCTAAAAGGTCTTCCCAGGCGTTTTAAAGCCAGCATCTTTTCCTTACCTATTGAATCGCTGGACTTTAGTTCTGTCTCAGAACTCTACATTATTGTTTCTATTAGTTCATTTTCTTCATTATATTCTATGTATTGAATCATTAGAGAATCATTCTCCACCCCATGAAGAAAACAAACAGAGCTTTTTAACTGAAATTCTACAGAAAATTCTCACAATACCATGGATCAAGAAGAAGAAGGGTAAACACCGACATCCGACATGAACAGAAGTACCTGCTCACAAAACAACACCCTGTCCCACAAGCTGAGCCATTATGACATGTCAAACATCATGGTGGGCTGGTTGAGCCACCTGGACGATGTCAAACATCATGGTGGGCTGTGGAGATCGCTATTTGAGGGCTCAGTTTTCGGTAAACGGGAAGAAAACACGACACTAAAGATGCATTAACTATATGGGGGAACAAGGAGGGAGGGGGGGGGGAAGGCTAGAGTAAGATATGCTTTCATGTGTGTCTTCACGAAAGCGACGTTCTGTTAAGGACCATGAAGACACTAGTTAAATATATGGTGGTAATTAGTAATTATTTTAAGAACGCAAATGCCAAGCTCACTGTCCTAAAACGCCCTCTCATAATACCAAATGTTCCCCTGAAACCTTACAACGACTGCCCCTTGGCTCAGGGATAGCCTGCCAACAGTCAAAACCACTGTAACAGGGATCTCCAAATCATGAATGAGCAGCACTGATATGAAATCAACTACAGAAGGAGAGATCAATAGACTTTATCCACACCAGAGTTGGATTCGAGTGTATACAGAGGGTTCAGCCAAGAGAGCAGTAGGAGACGGAGGAGGAGGAATATATATAGAATGCCCAAATGGTTTTAAAATCAACCAGGCTGTACCAAAAGGTTAATATGCCTCCAATTACAGAGCAGAGGCAGAAGAAATTCTGGCGGCATGTTCTTTCCTGAATGGACAACAGCACAACAAATATTTCAGAGTGGTCTTTCTGACTGATGCTATGTCAGTTCTACATGCAATTGTTAACCCAAAAGACACTCAATTTGTAGACTTGACGCAACAGCTGATTTACTTAGGCTCTCTAGTAGAACACTCTGTACTGCAGTGGATTCCAGGTCACTGTGGCTTGGAAGGCAATGAAATAGCGGACAGATTGGCCAGAAGCGGCAGTGACATGGTACAAACAAATAGCGACTTAACCCACCAAAAGACGAAAACATTAATACAATCCAGTATCCAAGAAAGGTGGCTGGATACCCACACGAGATTTTCTCCCCAAGACTCACTTCATCGGCTCTCTAGAGAGGGACAGTCTATTATATTCAGACTAAGGACTGCGACAACAGATTTCGTCAACATTTGTTCAAACTTTTCGGTGTAAATACGAAGACGTGTCCCTGCAGCGTGGCACCCGAAAATGCTGAGCATGTGCTCCAACACTGTCAACTGTATGCTGACATCAGAGACGCAATCTGACCTGTTCCAACCACAAGGAAAACAAACCTGTATGGTACACAAGAAGATGGATTGCACGATAGCCCTCATAAAGGCTACCGGCCTCCTGATATAAGTTTTCTGACAGAAGGATCGAAGAAGAGGAAGAAGAAGAAGAAGAAGTAATTACTATATGCTTTCTTCGTGTTGTATCTCTACAACTGCAGCATTGATCTGTAAAATACTATAATCACAAAAGCATGTCAGTAATGATGAAGTAGAATAAAGGCTAAAATACTGATTAGGAAACTGCGATCAGCTACTGATTTTTTTTCTAGCCTTTGTATCTCTATTTAGTAATTATTTATATATGTTTATTGCTTTGAATTTTTTTTTTTTTTTTTTTTTTTTTTTTTTTGAAGTCTGTATTCAGTGACTAGGTATAACTGTACCAATGTTAACTTTGTTTTCGTAAGTTTTTATCTTCACTCAGTAACTATGCATAACTGTGTAATTGTTACTTAAGTTGTCTAGGTTTACCTCCATACAGTAACTATGTTGATCTTTATTGATTTTTCTAAATTTGGTAATATCTATTCAGTAAGTATCTGTGAATATTTGGATGTTTCTTGATTTTTTTTTTTTTTTCGCTTATTCACTAACTGTGTATAACAGTGTTAATTAATGCTACTTGATTTATCTGTGCTTTCAACTCCATTACGTAGCTTAGTATAATTGTGTTGCGGTTTCTGCCAACAGTTCCCAGTCCTGTCAGAGATCTTCGCCTACAAGCATTTGGTGTCGCCTATGTCTTGCTCAAATGGAAACCTCCGCTACAACCCAATGGTGTCATTGTTGGCTATGATATCGCTTACCAGCAAGGTTAGTTGCTTTCTGTCTGTTGCTGTTAACTGTTTCGCCTGTCAATAGATCAGTTGCCGGTTTCCGTTTGTTCTTGTTAATTATAGATTCAATAATATACTAAGTAAGAATCACATTTAAGTCTGTCATTAGTTATTGAAATGCATTGGTACCAACTGCTACAGAGAGCCACGAGGAAGAAATAAAATCATCAGAGAGCAACAGGAAGACCACGCAAGACAAGGAGCGACAGTGTTAGGAGCAACCTAACAGAAATGAACACCTGCTTGTAAAATGCACTGGGGAAATCGCACAAACGATCCTTTAAATCCCCCCCCCCCCCCACCTCAGCACCTCGCTGAGGTAAATGGTGAAAGAGGAGGAGAAGGAGGAGGAGGAGGAGGAAAAGAAGAAAATAAAGAAGAAGAAGAAGAAGAAGAAGAAGCAGAAGAAGAAGAAGAAGAAGAAGAAGAAGAAGAAGAAGAAGAAGAAGAAGAAGAAGAAGAAGAAGAAGAAGAAGAAGAAGAAGAAGAAAAGAAGAAGAAGAAGAAGAAGAAGAAGAAGAAGAAGAAGAAGAAGAAGAAGAAGAAGAAGAAGAAGAAGAAGAAGAAGAAGAAGAAGAAGAAGAAGAAGAAGAAGAAGAAGAAGAAGAAGAAGAAGAAGAAGAAGAAGAAGAAAAAGAAGAAGAAGAAGAAGAAGAAGAAGAAGAAGAAGAAGAAGAAGAAGAAGAAGAAGAAGAAGAAGTTAATTATTAACTACCAGAATTTAGCAAGGTAGCCTCCGTGGCGCAGATACGATATGATTATCTGCAGATCCAAAGTTAAGGGGTTCATGTCTTTTTTGTTTCAAAAAATGACTCTAGCTCCCAGGCGGACCCATCCTTGATAGGGCAGCACTTAAACATCATGGGATGTCAAGGTGGCTGACGTCATTTTGACCACACCATCCACGGCGGCCCAATGTTCTTGAAAATATAGGTCTATCCTTATATGCCAAATGCGCCTGAATTCGTTTAAAAAGGTCTTTTTTTTTTTAACATTATTTTTTTTTTTTTTTACAAAACATTTATTAATTGTTACCAAACCAAGAAGGTATATATTTTAGTTTTGTCTTCTGTGCTCGTTAGTTATTCACTGACGCTGTTTATGAAGGTAAGTTACTCTCTCTCTCTCTGTCTCTCTCTCTCTCTCTCTCTCTCTCTCTCTCTCTCTCTCTCTCTCTCTCTCTCTCTCTCCATCAACACACTGACAAACAAAAACACTTCAACACGTGTGGTAACATCTAATAGAATGTTAAACGGGCCTGCGTTCCCAATTCTTAACCCTTTGAAAATAAAGTGTGTTCGTTCGTTCGTTCCCTCTCTCTCTCTCTCTCTCTCTCTCTCTCTCTCTCTCTCTCTCTCTCTCTCTCTCTCTCTCTCTCTCTCTCTCTCTCTCTCTCTCTCTCTCTCTCCTTCTCCTCTTTTATTACGGACAATTCATGTATGGGGATCTTATGATAAACCTTTAGACCCACGTCCCCAGGTCCCATGTCCCTAGGTCCCACTTCCCCAGGTCCAACGTCTCCTTATTCCATATATTTAGGTCCCATTTCTCCGGGTCCCACTTCTCTAGGTCTCACATATCTAGGTACCATTTCTCTGGGCGCAACTTCTTCAGGTCTCAAGTCTCCATGCCCCATGTCTCCGGGTCCCACTTCTTCATATCCCCAGACTCAAAGCAAGCACCATGTATTCCAAGTTTTTCGTTCCCAGATTCCCATTTCCAAGTTGGACATCCGCAGGTCCAACTTCTTCAGACTTCCAGACCCCATGTCTCTAGATCACGTTTCTCCTGCTCCCACATTTCCAGTTCCACATCTGCAAGTGCTACGTCTACGTGTTCCACGTTGTACCATGTCTATAGAACACACTTCTTCAGGCCCCAGGCCCTGAGGTCCTATGTCTCTAGATCCCACTTATCCAGGTCCCACAACTCCACTTCCACGTCTGCAAGTTCTTTCCCTAACGTCAGGTTCAGTGGTGTTTCAGTAGTGGTCCAGCCACTATATGTATACTGTCATGGACTACTGTGTTTCCGAGCAACTGAAACATTCAATTTTCAGCGGTAGTTAATTGATAACAATGCTATGGCTTAACTGTTACAGTGCTCGGAATCCAACTAGGCCAAATGAGACCTCTCTTGCCGCACATCAATGACCCATCCACACTGGGAGCAAGAATCACGGGCCTGCAACCTTCACACCGCTACCGGTTTATTGTGTGGGCCCGCACAAAGCAAGGCCGTGGGGAGCCTTCTTTCGTGGATATGATGACGGCCAAAGGACAACGTAAGCATCATACTGTTTACAATGTCTGTTTGAATATTCTTTTCATTCTCTACGTCGGTGGGTTTCGCGTTGCTAACTGGTTCTTATTGCTGGGGTTCCGGGCTCGATCCCAGCTGCCGACGATTTCACAAAAGAACGTCTTGTGTTGGTTTTGACAGTCGTACCGAGAGCTGACTGATTAGTGAGTTAACTTATTCTTCCCATTCTTCTTCCCATCTGTGACTGCAGAATGAAGTAAATCAAGGACCATTTTCCACTAGTTTATGCGTATTGAGCATATAGGGCTAGACCTATATTTTATAGATCAATCGGCACTTGATGGGTAGACACCATACCGGGCTCTTTTACTCCCCAGCACTTTTACCTGCTACCCAATTAAGGCAAGGTCGACCTGGGCAACTAAGGCCTTCACTGAAAGAATAAGTCTGTCTCCATCGGGATCTGAAATGACTCTCCGATCTGCAGGCTACAACATAGCGGCTGCAGAACAAAGGCATCAGATCTGTTGAATCGGAGCCACTTGTGGGATACAGAAATGCTGAACCAGACGTGGTGTTCCAGCAGGACCTGGGCTCATTCTGGTCAAAACATATCTGCAACTCTCCGTAATTATCACAAAAACGGGTTCCCAGCCGGGACCTTGGCCAACATAGACCGGATCGCGGTTTCATTTGAATTCCTTGTCAGTCTGCCTAAACAGTAAGGAACAAACAGTCTGCACACAAATAAGTTACATCTGTAAAACAGATGTTCAAGCGAGACTAAAGATCTAGAACCAGATCAAAGTACAGAAGTGGACGACCAACTAAAAGTCATCCCTGCATTTGCGCAAATTTGCAGTCGTTAAACACGAAGAAGACACAGAGTGTCGGAAGGCCTTCTTGAAACATGCCAGCAGATCTTTGCGAGGAGACCGTGTCAAGATGGGACTCAGAGGTAGGGCGTAACCTACTCTTGGCTAAAACATCCTTGAGGTTACGGTCATGTCTGTTTAATTAAAAAAAAAAATTCGTCATTTTCAGTCAATATCCCTGAAAGGAAAGCCTTAGGTTTTAGTTGTGATTAGGCTATGTGCCCCATATAAAACATATTAGCATTACATAGTTCTAAGAGCCCTGAAAATGACTCCGGCGGTGTCGATGCGATCAAAGAAGGCGGACCTAAATACTTTTCCGAGCGGCGACGAAGTTTTCTACCGGCGAACCAATTAGCGACCCGGTCGCCGATGAATGTTGTCCTGAGTTCTTCATTTGTGATCCTATATATATATATGGACCATTTCACATTTCGCGGATTATCTACGCACTTTCTCATTTTAATGTAGGTCAGAGAGGTGTCACGTTGTACTGCGTTTTTCAAAAAGAGTCTCTCGTGTGACCTAGGCTGAGGCTGTGGGTAGGGGGGTTTGTGTTAGGTCCAGTTCTACCTCTTCTGGAGTCGTTGAAAGCTGTGGTTTGTGTAGTATAGAACACGCGACGTCGACGCTGATGCAACTAGTCGGAAAACAACATAATACCCCTCTCATGTAGAAGAGTCTGAGAAAGTATAAATAAAAGTTCAGCCAGTGTGTAGGTGGGCCTGGAAACGTGAACAAAGCCATATATATGTGTGTGTACACACACACATATATATATATATATATATATATATTGATATTTTTTTTCAGCGCCAAACATACCACGTGTCCAAGTGTCCGAGCTGAAGAATTCTAGTGTGAATATCACCTGGATGTCTGACCAGGCGGCCCGTGACGTGAAGTTTCTTGTGGAATACCGGCAGACAGGTAGGTCAAGGTTGTTCAGGACTGTTAGCCGCGGAGAGGAGGAGGGCGGGTTGATTGTTTGACCTTAATTAGAAAGGGGTCTCCTGGCGTCATTCAGCTAACCAGTGCAATTATTACGGAAATACTTAGGAATCGTCGCCGGAGCTACGGAGGTTGTGCTCTGTGCTACGCTCTCATCAGGCAGCTAGCTAGAGAGAGAGAGAGAGAGAGAGAGAGAGAGAGAGAGAGAGAGAGAGAGAGACTGAGCAGCATGCGAACAAAACCTATGCAAAAAAAGTCTATCCCCTCTCATCGCCTTCACCTTTACATAATTTGATAATAAAATATTCGTGGTTTGCTTTCTTTCTTTCGTTCTTTTTTTTTCTGTCTGTCTGTCTGTCTGTCTGTCTGTCTGTCTGTCTGTCTGTCTGTCTGTCTGTCTGTCTGTCTGTCTGTCTGTCTGTCTGTCTGTCTGTCTGTCTGTCTGTCTGTCTGTCTGTCTGTCTGTCTGTCTGTCTCTCTCTCTCTCTCTCTCTCTCTCTCTCTCTCCCTCTCTCTCACTTACTCTTTCTCTCTCTCTCTTACACACTCACTCCGTCTGTCTCTCTGTTGATTTATGCTGTCTACACGCAGTAGATAAAGCCCAGATATGACCCGTTGTCTTTCCAAAGGAAACCAAGATGTATGAAACAGTAAAAGATGTGCGTCGTACCATAAACTTTAAAGAGGTGTGTGACCTTTTCAACTGAAAACTATTGTCAGGGAAAACAAAAAGAAATAGAAGGTTTCTTTTTTCTTATTATTTTCCTTTTAGTTGGAAAGCTGCCATAGCGTAGCAGCTAGACACCAGCTTACTGACCCGAAGATCTAGAGGGATTTATTGTCAACACAAACCTTGGTTCCCTGGAGGACCAGTTCTAACACGGATAACGTAAAGTCCGAGAAAATAAAATCAGCCCGTGCGATTGTGTCCACATCACCCCAGAGCTGTCTCAGCGGTATTACAGGGCCCAAAGAACAGCTGCTGTAAGGAATTTGATGTAAATATTCGAATATATTATTTATAGGTCTTGTTTACGTTTTCCGGCCCATCTAAACACTACCTGACTTTTTATTTATACTTTCTCAGACTCTTCTACGTCAAAGGGATATCAAGTTGTCTTCCCTCCAATTACATCAGCGCCGATGTCACGCTGACGACACAGCTTTCAACGACCCCAGAACACGTCGAACCGGATCTAACCCAAACCCCCCTACACACAGCCACAACCTAGGTCGCATGGCAGACTCTTTTAGAAATAAAGCAGTACCAGTGACACCCATCTGACTTAGATCAGACTGAGAAAGTGTTAGGTAGGCCGGAAAACGTCAACAGATCCTAGCCATACATACTTTTATTGTCACAAAAACAAAACTAGTCGATAGTGGCTGGGAAGCGGGTAAATATGATTACAGCCTTATATCACATAAAAATATTTAAAACGTCAAATACGTTTTTATTTATGGCAAGTCACTTTACATACACATTTTAGCATGGGGGCCTTATCCTCTTGCCCCTCTTTCTCCTCGCCCAGCAAGTGCCCAGTAGGCCTTTGTGTTAAAGCAGACCTGCATATTCCACCCAGTGATGATTGGACTAGATACACCAGTCTCGAGCATCGCATTCCTGATGCGCCACTAGCTAAAACAGGTCCTTTGCTTTGAGTTATTTCAACATATCATCCTACACTTACATCCACAGGCCACGGCGACTGGCACAACACAGACTACGTCTACGATCAGTCGTGGATGATGCTGGACAAAGCCGAGGTACCGGTGCAAGAGCTTGAGGTGCGGCTGGTGGCAAGCAACAGGCTCGGGGATACGGCCACCAGTAGGACAATAGCGGTTGCTAAAACGCTACAGTCCGGTAAGTCCGTGTTTTTTAAACCTAAGTATGTCTGCCATTGCCAAAGCCAACATATCGTGCTCGGTCTAAACTTTCAGAGATCGGTATGTACTTTCTACCATTAGACAGACAACGAGACAGTGAACAAAAAGTTTTATAACATGGACTAATATTCAAACATGGACTAACAAACTAGAAAGAGAAGACCAAACAGAGATGAATAAATGCTAGAGATATCTGCAGCAATAAACGTCGCGGCCTTGGAATACTGAAGAAGAAAGGGAACAAGCAGATGAAGAAAAAGAACAAGAAGACATGATGATGATGATGATGATGGTTATGATAATGATGGTGATGATCATAAAGAAGCAGATTTTAAAGAAGCAGAAAAAGAAGAAGGAGTAAGAGAAAACGTGAATAAAAAGGAGTAGAAGGAAAAGAAGAGGGTGGAAGAGGGAGGCGTATAGTGTCTATAGTTGTCCTAAAGTCTGAAGGCTAATGCTATTAGTGTAAAGCATACAACAGCTACAGTCATTCCACTGTGAAGTATACGAGCTACAATTATCTCAGTGTAAAGCATACAACAGCTACAGTCATTTCACTTTGTAGTATACGAGCTACAGTTATTTCAGTGTAAAGCATACAACAGCTACAGTCATTCCATTGTGAAGTATACGAGCTACAGTTATCTCAATGTAAAGCATACAACAGCTACAGTAATTCCACTGTGAAGTAAACGAGCTACAATTATTTCAGTGTAAAGCATACAACAGCTACAGTAATTCCACTGTGTAGTATACGAGCTACAATTATATCAGTGTAAAGCATACAACAGCTACAGTAATTCCACTGTGTAGTATACTAGCTACAATTATTTTAGTGTAAAGCATACAACAGCTACAGTCATTCCACTGTGAAGTATACGAGCTACAATTATTTCAGTGTAAAGCATACAACAGCTACAGTAATTCCACTGTGTAGTATACTAGCTACAATTATTTCAGTGTAAAGCATACAACAGCTACAGTCATTCCACTGTGAAGTATACGAGCTACAATTATTTCAGTGTAAAGCATACAACAGCTACAGTCATTCCACTGTGAAGTATACGAGCTACAATTATTTCAGTGTAAAGCATACAACAGCTACTGCCATTCCACTGAGAAGTATACGAGCTACAATTATCTCAATGTAAAGTAAACAAAAAGCCTCAATTTTCCCAGGTAATCCGTGTGGAAGTGTGAATACTGAACTGGCTATGTCATGTACTTTCATAATCTCATTTACATAAATATAACTCAATTCATAGGCATTCCCTCTCGTGTGGTCGATCTCCTGCATTAGTCTCCCGTAAGTAAGATGAA